TGGCAAACTGAACAGGCTTCCTATGGTTCAGGTGGAGCTGGCCACCAACTCAGCTCCAAGGATTGGCCCTGACGTGTTCCAGCCATCTGGAGGAAGCCCGCCCTTCCTCCAGACCCTTGTAATTGGCTCAGGAATGAGAGCCTTACTGAGAGCAACTCATGCAAAGCAAGCCGGGGCACTGAGGCCAAGAACGAAGAGACGCCAACACAGGCAATGTCACCACCCTGGTTGTCTTGAAGCATGACAGGGAGGGCCGAAGGTGACGCATCATTGGCCCTGCAGCAAACCAGACCTGGGCTGGCTTTGCCTTTGGACTTGCCCATCATATCAACCAGTAAATTCTTTTTTCTTTCACCAGTTTGGACAGAGTTTTCTATCTATGGTAACCAACAAAATCCTAACGGATATGAAACCTGGGTTATTTTTGCATGCCCCTGTGTCCACAAGAACCTTGCTTAGGGAAAACACTGAATAAATACCAGCTGGACAGTGAGCTGCTGGGAGACCTGGGCATTGCTTGATGGGGGAAGTGACCGGGTGACAGCCAGCTAGAGCTTTAATTTAAACATTTCTTTAGAAAATGTGTAAGATTGCCCTAGATTTAAATGCATCAGAAATTTAGAAGAATGTTCACCAATGTATTTTATAACAGACTGCTTGCTATCTGAGGTTACTAACTTGTTCACCTGCCATTTCCCAAGAACTCCTGAAAATTCTGCTTCAAACCCTGGATTTTAAATCTAAAGAAACTATGGTTTTAAAGGAGAAGAAGAGAACAGGAAGGAATGATTCAGCCTCTAGGAACCCTTTACTCAGCTGGATTCCCCCGCACCTCCCTACCCCACTCAGAATGACCTATAACTTCTTACATTTCTTTTATTTTAAACTCAAGTTTTACTTCTCAGGTATTTAAGATGCCTTTGGCTTTTTACCTGGCTTGATGTAAGCCAAGATGTTATTTTTCTCTTGGGGGCTATTTTGCTAGGCTAGGGTCATCAGAAACAACTTTACTTAGGTTGTTATGTGACATCCTTCAGAGTTATCAGGCTGTGTGGTTCATGATCTAGCTATTAGAGGTCTGTGTTGCCTAAGGCCTGTGCTTCTAAAAATACGGAGGGGAAAAAACACATTTGACTGAACAGGGAAGGAAAACTCTACAAGCTGTTCCCTATATCCTGATCAGGAGACACGTTCCTGGTTGACCAAAACCATACTGTTCACATTCTCAAAATGTCTGTTACTCTCAGGGTTCTATGTACAGATGCAGAGCATGGACTACATATACATCCTCCAACTGTTGGCTTTTGACTCCCTGACGTACTTTTTTGTATACCTTGGCTTGTATTTCAGGATTTCTTTTGTCCACTGAGGGAGAAGGAAGTAAGCTGTAAAAATCTGGTAGAAAATAAGCCAATCACTTCACCTTCTACATCAAATACATCTACCTATATTGCCCTTTTAAGGAAAAAGTCTGATGAAGAACAGGATAGTCTCAAAATATCTCTCCATAATTCTCTTATTTACTACGAAGGGACAAATAACAACTTGACAGCGAGAGCCCTCAGGGACGCCACCTTAATCAAGACACCAAGGAGTCACACAGACCTCAGGTGCCTGCTGTCAGGTGCACCGAGAAGGACGTGGTGTCACTTCTAGGGAACCGTGGCCAAAAACGGATGACCTGAAACAGTCATGAGTGAACACAGGACAAACCCAAACTGGGGATCATTCTGCACAACCACCAGCCTATACTCCTCACAAACTGCCAATAACCTGAAGAACAATGAAGCTGAAGAACTGTTTCACACTGGGCTACAGAGACATGAGAACTCAATGCCACGCGTGACTGTGAACTGGTTCTTGAGCTCAAAAAATAACAAGCTATAGAGGATGCTGCTGGGATGGCGGCAGAATTTGAAGACGGACCGTAGGTGAGTGACCTGCACAGTGCTGAGTCTCCGACTGAGACTCAGTCGGAATCTGACAGTGCTGAGATCACTGTGCTGTGGTGATGGCCAACATGTCGCTGCTCTTAGGGAGTCACCACTGTTTAGAAGGGGCACATGTCTCCAACCTACCTTTAAGTGGCTCAGAAAAAAATGGACATATGGCGAGTAAATGACAAAGCAAATGAAACTAAACATTAATAATTGATGAATCTAGATAAAGCATATATGGGTTCTGTATACTACTTTTGCAACTTTTCTCCAAGTTTGAAATTATGTCTACCTATACCTATATATCTACACCTACATAAATATATAAAATAAACACATTCAATTCAAAACAGTATTACAGCCCGGTGCGTCAACCTGAAATTCAGCCTGTTCCTCAGGTGTTCTTAGTTGACCTACAGAAACAAAGGCCAAGATACCAACAGTGGCCTGGTCAACAGTCATCAATTAGGGTCCTGTCTACACTTCTACTAATTTGAATTATGTTTTCGTTTAAATAAAACATTTTGGATTTTCTTAAACTTGGTGCCTATTACTTATATGTTCAACACTCAAAGTACAAAAATCCAGATTTTCCCCAAGGGAGGCCCAAAATTTTCAATATTCTCATTCACTAATAAGGCTAATTTCTATAACCTAAGCTTAGAACTTTGATGTACATAAACCTTTTCTAACATGCCGAATTCCCTACTTTCTAAGAAAATCCAATTTACATCTTTGGGAATTCAAATACCACAAGCTCTTGTTTTAATTTCTCTCTACTGATTTTAGAGAGACAGGAAGAGACACTGATATATTGTGCACTATTTATCCACTGGTTGGTGGATTCTGGTGTGTGCCCTGACCAGGGATCGGACCCACAGTCTTGGCCTATTCTAACCAGCTGAGCTACCCGGCCAGAGCACAGGCTCTTGTTTTTGTCACATCGGATGAACTACTTCACCCTGTAGCGTCTTAAAAAGAAACTCAGTGTCTCTGTGCTCACTGCCAGCTTTCCTCTGTTTTCCAGTATCTCTTTGACCAAGCTTTTCCATTCACTTCAGAATAACCCAGAGGTAATTAGAACTTCTTACCTTTGGCCCAAAAGGAGCCAATTTATCACAAATTGTCATGGATTCAGATTTTAAATTACCAAGAGCCCAATTACCAATGGAAGCAAGGAGTCTTCTTTCCAATTAAAGTGATTGATTTCTTTGCAGACCCAGTAGTATTTCACTTTTTAATTATGTTCAATCCAATCAAATGTGAGAAAATTCTTCATTTTTTTCCTTCGAAAAAACATGATATAACAAACATTAATCATGGAGCAAATACAAGGCCAGACCTGCTAATGTCTTGGGCAGAACTGGACATCTAGCAACAGGTCTCGGTGGGTCTCAGTGGCTCCCTCAGCTCTAGGGGAAGAAGGAAATAATTATTTATTACACCACAGAGTTCATCTAAGGGCTCAGCAAAACTTCCGGCACCAGCTGAAGCAGCATTCGATATTGAAACAGCCTATCAGGAGAATGAAGACTTAGGGACAGAACACAGTTTCATTTATTGTGCAGAGAACAGAACCTCAGTGCTAAAGAGAAAGCAGTATATGGAAATAAAAATAAAGGACACAGGAACAATTTTGCTTTTTCTCACTTGAATATTGGTGTGATTATGTGCTGTCAAGAACTTTGAGAGGAAAATCAAACTTCCAATCCAGCTGGGGGGCGGGGGGGACACAAATTGGAGGATCTGAAAGGAACACAGGCCACCACACCTTAGATTCCCCAGGGCACCTGTTTATCTACCCAGCTTGTGATCTTAATAGAAGGCCGGCTGGTCCGGCTCCCGCCGAAGGCCAGAAGACCAGAAGGCCCTGGCTGGTGTTGCTCCGTTGGTTGGAGCATCACTGTGAACTGAATGGTTATGGCTTCGATTCCTGGTCAGAACACATGCCTAGCTGGTGGGTTCAGTTCCCAGTTGGGCTGCATGCGCAAGGCAGCTGACCGATGCTTCTGTCTCACATCAGTTTCTCTCTCTCTCTCTCTCCCCTTTCCCCTCTCTCTAAAATCAGTAAGCATGTCCTCGAGTGAAGATTTAAAAACAAAGATGAGGAAAAAGAGGTTGACTCTATTCTGTGTGAACACTTGGTTGGATTCCATGGACTGGCTGGCTGGCTTTTGCTATTTAAACATTTACTGTGGCTGTAATTCACATCCTGCATTGAGCCCTTGTAAATTCTTAAATATCCGTAAGTGGGGGAATTATTTCAATCCTCCTTTGATAGACGAGAAAACCAAGACTGGGAGGTTTAGCCCTGACCAGGGGAATCCAACTAACCCAGGATGAGAGATCAGTACAGTCCTCATTACACAATTCGATGAAACATAATGATAGCTCAAAACCATCTGGTCAGCATGTTTCTGACCCAAGGAGAACAGAACTCATGGGACTCACACCATGAACTGTTGGAAGGTGAGGCTGCTGATAACGTGCAATGCAAAAGCCAGCAGAAAGCCAGCACATGCACCGAATCCTTTTTTAGAAAAACACATGCACTGAACTCGTCTTATACCTTTGGTTGAACTAAATTAAACACCCCTATCAGATGCTATTTTTAGACTCAAGTTTTCCCATCATAAAGTTTAAAAAAGAAAAAAAAGTTTAAAAAAGAACAGACTGTCTAAAAAGTGTTGAGATCTGGGAAATTGAGAACATAGCCTGACCACAGCAAAACAGGCTGATTGTAATCTGCTTAGCTTTGAATTTTGAAACCCCACCCTGATTCCCGCGCGTGGTCTCTGTCAGCAAACAGCTAACTGCCACGTCTGCTTCTGTTCAACGCTTGCTTGCTTGCCCCTATATAAGGACTTAGCTGTAAGCGCTCTCGGCACGTCTCTCATCTGCAGCCCTTTTGGGCACCGTGTCTCCAGACACCCCGAGAGTTCGCCCCTGTGCAGGTTAAGCTTGGCCAATAAAATAAGATCAAAACCCTGAAAGGTCTTCGAAAATTATTCTCGCGTCCGGTGGATATAACAAAAAGCAGGTAAAGAAACTCACTAAAGAAGGTTTAGGTGTTTTAGAACTTTAATGTCCTTCACTTATTCAACATAAAACACTGACAGTGGATAAACAACAGGGGAAAAGACTCTTCAGCGGGTTTCTCCCCGAACTCACGGCATCACGCTGGTCAAACACCGCAGTGAGAACGGTCAGGTGAACAAAGGATAAGCGAGTGTAACAGATTTTTTTAGTGTAACGACGTAACTGAAAAGAACCAATCAACCAACCTTCTCTTCTACCTACTGAAAGGAAAATAAAAGTGAATTGGGGAGCTTCTAAATCTTCCGAAGCAGCTTCAAAAGGAAGGAGAAAGACAAAAACCATTGAAAATACATTGCTATGATGCATAAGGTCCAGGAGTCTAATAAATTCCCAAAGTCTCTACATATATCACTGAGTACTGCTATCATTAGAAATATAAATGTATGGCGATATAAACTATTTGGTATTAAAAACAGAGCTTGCTATATAAACATATGGTATGTCATTTTTATCTCTTTATGAGAATAACAGTATAAAGATCTCTAATTGGCCCTTTAGCCTAGAACTCCTAAACACTCACCACATGGTCAAGGTTAACCTGAATCAACAATTGTGGAACCCAGGAGCCCCTGCTGCTGTCATTTTGGAAAGGATCAAATTCAGCACCTAACAAACCCCACCCACCATCAATGCTACAAATTGGAAACATTAGCACTTTGTGTAAGTCCACAGGCAAGTCTGAATACTGAGATCGAGCTAGAAAAAGCAGCAGCAAAGATATGACCATAAGCTGGAATCATTAGAAAAGCTAAAGGTTTTTTTAAAAGCTTCCAGTTCAAGTCAAAATTAAGGTGTCTGTTCCACCAGCTTCACAGAGCTGTGGATATCTTGCTGTTCTTTGAAAATCAAAAGAAAAATCTACAATAAGCATGTTCCTTTGAGGAAAATACCACAGTTAAGTTTTTGAAGCCATTGAGTTACTTTCAGTTTTGGACATGGTTCAGGGGTGCAGTGTATATCAGAGAGGAGGATGTATTCACAGCTGATGCATCTCCAAAAATTTCTTCATGAAGGCTGCCAGCTCCTGCACGTCCTCGATCGTGACGGCATTATACAGAGAGGCCCGGATGCCTCCCACAGACCTAGAACGACCAAAGACGCTGCCATGAACAAAAGCATCTCATTTAGCATCAAGACAAACCCTCCTTCCAGTCACCCCCACAGGCAGCTGGGAGCTTCAACCATCTAATCATTAGAAAATTCTTCCTAATGCAGAGAAGGTTCACCAAGCTCCCACATGACCTGGATGAACTTAGCAGGAAGCAGGGAGCCGGCAACCATGGCAGGGTAGGCGTCTCGCCTCTCGTATGGCGCTGACACCTATTTGTCATAGGGCAAGGAGGGTTAACGACTCCACCCAATGTGCAGCTGCAATCTGTACCTCCTGCCATCTGCAACCTGCAGAGAGCACCAGTGATCTGTTCTTACACCAAACAGGGTTGCACCTGCCTCCTCAGACATGGATGGTAACCCCTGGGCTGTGAGATCAATTTAAGATATTTTCAAGGGTAATTTTAACAAAAGTCCCTGGAATTTGTGGCTCCACCATGCTCTCCACAAGGGAATCCTGCTAAGGGCTCTATAAGACACAAGAGGAAGAATTATCCTTGTGACAACTGCTATTCCCAACAAGTTACAATAACTGCTCCTCCAAGCTGTGCAGGCTCTGAGAACTGTGTCAGTCCAAATTTGAAAAAATTTTAATTGTTTTAAACCAGCTCTGGCTGGTATCGTTCAGGGGATTGGGCACCGGCCTGTGAACCAAAGGGTCACTGGTTCGATTCCCAGTCAGGGCATATGCCTGGGTTGCAGGCCAGGTCCCCAGTTGGGGCCAGGTGAGGGGCAACCACACACTGATGTTTCTCTCCCCCTCTTTCTCTCCCTTCCCCTCTCTCTAAAAAAAAATACATAAAATCTTAAAAAAAGAAAGACTAAATCCATGCTCTGATGAGCGTCTCGTCTGGATGTGCACTCACCTGTGCCCTTTCAAGGAGATCATATTGAGCTCAAGGGCTTTATCAAGAAACCTTTTTTCTAACGCGTCATCCCCTTTGGCGTTGCCAATGCGGAATGGAATATTCATCCTGCTCCTATTCTGGGGCTCCACCGGACATCTGAAAAACATGTTTATTACTCCAGCAACTTTTCAGAAAAATGCTCAAACATTCTCTTGATGCAAACAGGAGATTAAAGAATTAAAAAAATGTGCCCAGGACATTTATAATCTACTCAGGCAGCAAGGGTGTCAAACTCATCTTTACCGGGGCCACCTCAGCCTCAAGGTTGCCTTCAAAGGGCCAAAATAATTTTAGGCGTGTATAACTGTAACTACTCCTTAACTATTAAGGAGCTGAAATTACATTTGGCCCTTTAAAGGCAACTGCGAGGCTGAGGTGGCCCCAGGCGAAAATGAGTTTGACACCCCTGACTTAGGGGTGTCCAACTCTTGCATACAGACCAGCAAGCCAGCATTCTCCTGCATGAAGTGTACTTAATCTCTATGAGCCTTCATGTCCTTATCTGAATATTGGGTATAATAATGGCTGCATTTCAGACTGGTTGTGACAATTCAGTGGTACAACATGGATGAAGCTTCCAACAAACATATGCCAGCCACACAGCAGTATGAGTGACACGTTCTCTACAAGGCTGCAGAGAAAAAAATACATTGGTCCTCACTGTGGTTGAAAGACTTAAAAATAATAAGCAGTTTTCCAAGTTCTTCTTGCACTGCATTGTCCTAAACTGTGTGACCTTGAGCAAGTTACTAACCTCTCTGTTGTGCCTCACTTTCCTCATCTATTGAAGAGTAGAAAAGATCATGAAACCTACCTCACAAGGCTGAGGTGAGGATTAAGTATATTTTTAGAAAATTTTTGTGGCGCATTTTTAAATGGCCACACATTTCTATACAGCCCTCCCAGCAAGAGGCTGGGTCTAGTCCTCCCAACCTTTTGAATCCGGGCTAGCCTTGTGACTTGCTTTGACCAAGAGACTGCGGCAGAAGTGACGCAATGCAACTTCCACGCCCAGACCGCAAGGGGCATGCAGCTTCTACACCTGCCCTCTTAAAACACTGTTTCTGCGTCAGTAAGCCCGAGCTAGCCTGCTGGAAACGAGGCTTCGCCAACAGCTGGCACGAACTCCCGGACATGTGGCTGAGGCCATTTCTGACCACTGGCTCCAGGTGAATGACCAAATGACTTCAGCTGACTAAGCAACCCCAGGTGAGAGCAGTGGCAGAACTGCCCCGCTGAGCCCGGCCCCACCTGCCCACCCAAGGAACCATGAGCAGAGAAAACGGTTGTCATTTTAAGTCAGTCTTTCGGCATTTGTGATGCAAAAATAGATGACTGATACAATTTAGAACAGTGTCTGGAACAGAGTAAATGCAATATAAGTTTCGATTAAACGAAATCTATCTTTCTATTCCCAGCACCTCGCACAGGACTTATACAGACTCTCAAAACTGATGAGAGAATTTTTTATCTAGGATGTGACTTCAGTTTCTGATTGGGAAAATAAGCAGCCAAAACTGTTTTTCACTGACAACCGAACGGGACAAACGAAAAAGGAACTGACATGCTCGTCTGGAGTAAAAGGAAAGTAAAATATGGAACAACCCTCTTTCTTCATCTTCTCCAGCACGTCCTGTGTTAATCTTCCATTTCTCCAGAGTGAAATTCATTAAAATTAAATAGCAAATAAAAGCAGCGTAAGGAAGCCCCCATTACACGTTCTGCTCTCGCCTGAGGGCACATCCGTAATTCCCGCTCAAGCCAACAGGAGTCAAGCGTGCTCCTACACAAGAAGAGATGCAAAGGAAACCAAGTATCTGACGCTAGGCTTGGAGCCTGAATTCTGGGACTGCCTTTCTCAGGAAGTGGTAGGTGTCATGGCTGACATTTAAATTAAAAATTCAGTGGATACTCTCTTTTGATATTTCACTGCCTCAGGCTTCCAACATGAGGGTCCAATTATGAAGGTGAAGCAGCAAAGAGCAGAGCTAATTTAAGAAAAGGGGGGAAAACAAAAGGGGGGAAGAATGAAGAATCTGTGTTTCGCGCTTGCCCCCCAGCTCGCCCCGCAACCCTGCTTCATCACGCATGCGTGAGAGCAGACAGCACCGTGACGGCACCAACGTTCTGAAAGCCCGAAATGAAAGACCAAAGTGGCACATGGCAAACACTCACATGGTGCTCTCTGGTATGAGGCTGAGGACAAGAAAAAAAGATTCAGGGGAATTAACTGCTCCCAATCCAGCGAGATGGCTGCGCAGGGAATTAACATTCCGTGTGAGAAGTGTGGGCGCAGCAAAAGGCTGTGGAAGCAGAGCCAGGCACGGAATTCTGCCCTTGAGAAGATACAAAGGTTTCAGAGCAAGGGACATGGGACAGGGGACAGGCACTCTAGCAGAGAACTCGCATCTGTGAAGGCGAGGGGCCCCTCGGCAGGTTCTCTGCGGGGACTGCAGTGTCGGGCTCCTGGCTGCGAGAGGGCAGAACTGTGGGGAGCCCCGAGGGCTGGCTCTGCTGGACACCAGACGGATGCTGGAGCAGTGAGAAGCAAAGACAATGGAAACCCTCGGTTTTTCTCGCCCTTCTCTTTCCTCCTCAGGCCTGGACACCACATGAAGGTGGTAAGAAAGGTGACCTCAGATACAGATTTGGATTCTGTCACTTGGACATCTTTTTTTTTTATCTTCACTCAAAGATATTTTTATTAATTTTTTTAGAGAAAAGGGGGGAGGGAGGAAGAAAGGGAGGTGGGGGGGAGAGAGAGACAGAGAGACATCAATGGGAGAGGGAAACATTGATCCCCTGCCTTCCATACACACCCCAACCAGGAACCGAACCCACAATGTCAGTATGTGCCCTGACTGGGGATCAAACTCACAACCTTTTGGTGCACAGGACAACACTCCAGCCAACCCAGCCACCAGCCAGTTCTGCACCTCTTTATAATATTAGAGTTAATAACTAATATAAGCACCATGTTGGGAATACCCTAAGTGCTTTCCATAATAATCACAAAAAAATAATATTAAGAGCTAAATCTTTTTAAAAATATTTTATTTATTTCATTTTAGAGAGAGGGGGAGGAAGAGAGAAAGAGAGGGAGAGAAACATCAATGTGTAGTTGCCTCCCACTTGGCCCCCACTGGGGACCTGGCCCACAACCCAGCTATGTACCCTCGCTGGAATCACACCGGCGACCCTTTGGTTCAAAGTCTGCACTCAGTCCACTGAGCCACACCAGCCGGGGTAGAGCTAACTCCTAAGCGATGCCCCCTGTGTGCCAAGCACTGTCTCTAGCGCTTTATGCAACTAACCGGTGCAAAAGCACATGCACTTAGCCCCTATATTAAACACTCTTTATTCACATGCACTTTTACTTAATCCTCATAAGAAGTATGTGCCATTATTGCATCCATTGTATATATGAGTTTAGAACAGTAAGGTCATTTGCCCAAGTTCACATGCTAGGTTGTTCAATGGCAAAACAAGGTTTCTAAGCTCAAAATGCTATACTGCTCATGTGGACTCAACTTGGGGTCAGGCAGCACCACATGGGTGGTTGACCTATGGAAAGAACACAGGAATGTCTGTGGTTGTTTTCACTAGTCTTGGAAATTCCCTGTCATGGTCACCAACAGAGCCGGTGCAACCCCTGGGGAACTGCCCAGGACTGTGCTCCTTACCAGTCAGGAGGCACAGAATAGGGGACACCAATGAGAAGCAAAGGTGGTGGTGAATGGCCAATTCTAATGCTAGGTTAGTTTGATATTGCTCTTTCAAGTGGGTACCTCCCCTCTGGGGCCATATTTCCAACGTGTGAAAGAGAAGTGAAGAATTTCCTGAAAACCCAAGTGAGTGCAGGGACAACTGGAGAGCATCCAGCTGCAAACACTGAGGCAAGGGAGGGCGAAAGCCTCTCCTTGGCTTGGGTGCCCAGGTCCCACGGGAATGTCATGAGCCAGGATGACATTTTCTGGGCAGGTAGCCCAGAGGGTAGATGGAAGTTCCCAGGAAGAGGTTTATTCTGAAAAGGATGCAAGTTGTGGGTCAAAAGTTTTGAATGGGAAGGTGATTAGATTCCCCACAACAGGACCCACCTGGCACACGGGCTTTGGCAGGCTGCCTTCTGGGAAATGCCCAGGTGAAGATAAAGGACCTTCAAAAGAAAGAATTCAGGGGACACTCAGTATTTGTGTGTGTGTGTGTGTGTGTGTGTGTGTGTGTGTGTTTAATTCCCTAGGTTTTCTCCAGAGGTATCACCTTCCTTTTTGTGCTTATATGTATCCTGAGAAATATATGGAGCCAAAAGCTAAGAGAAAAATTGGTTTCCCCTCCACAATAGTTGCCAAGCGCTTTCACTCACATTCAGGTTCTGCACATTGTTTGGAAGTCAAGAAAGACAGCTTGTTCTAAGTTTCCCCAGAGCCTAGAACAAGGCTAGCCCAGAGTCAGTGCTCAAGAGGATGGAGGGATAGACGGTAGGTGGATGGGTGGGTGCATGGGTGGGTAGACAGACAGAGGGATGGACAGACAGATGAGATGCATGGATGAACGAGTGAGTGAATCAGTGAACCAGGAGATTAAGCATGTCCTCAGACCTCCCCACAGACTTTCCTTCCAGTCCCAGCACAAACCATCCCTCCAGGCAGCCCCGTCTCTGCTCCCCAAACACACTGTACCTTCTTCCCTTGGTGCCTTTGTGAGGTCATTTCTTGAACTTCCTAAAAACTGCTAAAGCTACTTCTGCCCCCTTCTCTACCTAAGTATACTCTCACCCGAGGCTCAAGCTCATCTCAAAGCCCTTCCTTCACTTTCAGCCAAGGCAGTAGCTTCCTCCTCCAACTCAGGCCTCGTTGTTTAGCCCGTGGCGATGAGTTCCTAGATAAGGTTGAGAGATTCCGGTGTGTCTGTGTGTTTTCCCTCAGGGAACACGCAGAGGAAGCAGGCCGTGGGAAAGGGGGGTCAGCCTGGGCAATGTCCTCAGTGTAAAATATGTCACCCCTCACCAGGAGACAGGTCACAGAGCCTGGGATTCCTGGGGTGGGGGTGCAGAGCCGTCCAGCTCACCAGCCCATCTGTCCCAGAGAAAGGTGAATGCATCCATTTGCCAAAAGTCCCTGGTGTGTGCATATTTTAAAATTCATACAAGGAAAAATGTGAAATAAAATCCATCGACTTACACATAGAATCCTTGCGAATTATCAATGATGTCATAAATCATCTGAGATTTGATGGAGCTAAGCTTCTCCATGGCTGCTGCACCCCCGTTGTTCTTAATCCACTCCAGGACCAGGCCCATGACATAGATGCTGCAATAAAGATGAAAACAAAAAATCCATTTAGTTCAGCTTTGCAAAAGTGGAAAGACATTCGAGCAAACTGTTAAAATGTCAGTAGACACAGACAAGATGAAAGGGGGCCCCTGTGTAGACCAAGGACAAGATCAACCCAATTCTCGGCCCCAGGCCCCAGAAAGCCATTGAGAACAGAGGTTTAATCAGACTGCTCACTGGATGTCACACCAGTCCCTACCTGTCCAGCCCTCATGACCTTCAAGCCACTTGGGACACAGTTCCCTGCCTCCACCTGCTGACCTTTCATCCCCACCATGCGCATCCTCAGATTTCTGGCCTCACCCCACTCAGTTAATCCTTCACGTCCTGAACTCCCAGTCCTCTGCCCATATTTCCCAATACAGCTTTTTCCATTCACTCTTGTATTTTATATTTCTGTGTGCAAAAGGAGCTCAGCTCTTCCCCTGACAGCTGACGCAAGGTGCTGTGCCTGGCAGGAGGGCGTGTAGTACAGTGCTCAGAGCGCGGGCACAGCAGAGTCATGGTCCTGACTCTAGTCCCCACACTGCCACTTACTAATGGACAACCTGGGATCAGTCACTCAGGAACCCAGGCCTCAGCTTTCTCATCTGGAACCATGGGGACCCACCAACTTCTGATGGGCACGTGGCACTTTGACTGCCCTGCTCTTCCCAACTCCACCTTCCCATCTGACAGGCAGATCCAGCAGAATCCCTTGCTGCCCTGGTCTCGCAGCTGTGCAGGGGACCTAGCAGATGAATCGGAGCCTTCCCAGGGATTCTCTGAATTGGGAGTGAGGAGAAAGAGGCAGACTGTGTTGGTGAAAGTGTGAGACATCAGGTAAAAAGCCCAGGGAACATTAGAAGGATGCTCATCAGAGAATAGGAAGTCAACGTTCCAGCAAGGAGAAGCAAAGATCAGAGAGAGCAGACAGGGTAGGATTTGTATGCCTGGTTCCTGGAGGACCCAGTGAATCTCAGTCATTCATGGAGCTTAGAACCAAATACTTCAATTTTCTGTCACCTGTGAGACCTCAGGGTTCGTAGGGACTGCAGGAGACAGGTTGGGTGAAGTGCTTAGCACAGGGCCTGGCACGTGGCAGGTGGACCACGCAAGTGGTCGTTAGCAGTATCTTTAATTGCTCAAAACTAAGCCCAAAACACTTGATGTTGGAGAGCGCTGGGTGGTTCCCCAGTGATCTTCTGAAAGCTCCTCTCTAAAACGCTCCAACAGCCAGACCAGGAAAGTGCATTCACGGAATCATCCAGGGGGTGGAGGACCCAGGCGTTTCCATCCCCAGAAGGCAGCAGAAACTTAACACTGGGCTGCCCAGCACCCACAACCACGCGGTAGCCTTTCTGGAAGCTTCTCCAACCTAGCTCTCCAGACAGCCTTGGGAGAAATGAGAAAAAGTAGCTAGTGGCACACAGGGAAGGGAGGGCAGGGCAGAAAACAGACCCTGGGTAAATACAGTCTCAGCTACAGCTCTCTAGATAAAGCCTGAGAAGAATCAGAGGGGAAAAGGAAAAAGAAATAAGAGAAGACAATGAGTATTACTGAGGTCTACTTCAGACCAGAGATCTTATGGTTGTTCTCCCTTTTATCAATCACAATAATCCTGAGGTCAGAGCTACCGCCGCTATCCTATTTTACAGATGAAGAAACTGAGGCTCCGAGCTTAACATGGCTAAAGGCTCCCAGCAAGGCGCTGATCAAGCCAGGATTCCAACCGTAGTCAGTCTGACTGCAATGCCCAAGCACTTTTCACTAGTAGCAAAGGCCTCGGCGTCCCCAGGTTCTCTGGGACTCTGAGCCACTATCTCCCCTCCTTGTGGGGCAGCCAGGCTGGCACCGAGCATCACAGACACAGTCTCCAAGTGCAGCTGCTACAGGGCATCACTGCACACGTGAGCATGTGCATGTGTGGGCATGCGTGTGTTCCAGATATGATGCTGCCTGCCAACCCCTCTGTTCTTTAAGATCCTCCCAGAATCCCTCAAAACTGCTCACTCCCACCAACCACAGATACTGCACCCTGCCACCAGATCTAAGGAAAAACCACCCTTGTGTCCGTTCTCTGACAGTATCTTTCAGAGGTCACGGTTCGCTTTTATCTGCAGCTTTGTTATCCCAAGGTCCCCAAGCTACTGTTTTGATCATCACAGCCAAAGGCCACAGTAAGGCCCAGGCCAGGTCCACAGTCCCAGCCGGACCTCAGCAGCGACACACCGCCTCCTGGGTGGCTGGCATGCTCAGACCCGCTGCCCGAGCTCCCTGGCTCACTTGAATGCAGTTGAAGCAGGCAGAATCGCCAGAAAACCCACCCATTTCACACGCTGTCCAGCCTAGGTGTCTGAGACCTCACCAAGAGGCACAGGCCTCCCTAGGGACCAGAAGGCACCCCCAGAATGGAAACATGTCTGGTGCCACTGCAGCTTCCAATTCATTATGAACTCCTGCCTCTACCCCATACAACCCAAAATCTTCAAAATACAGGGCCCTAAAATGCTTACACAGCTTTGTAACTTGGTCTCAACTCTCCCCACTAGGCACTGACTTATACTTTCACATCTAAAATGCCACCTGCACACGCAGAGCATGGGTTTGCCACCTTAGCCTACCTGTTAAATGACTGCATAAATCACAGAACATCTGCTCTATGGCATACCATACAGCAATTCAAAGGGGAGAAAGGCAGCCATTGGAGCAGATATGTTCATAAAATGTTGTTGGGCGAAATAAAGGAATTCACAGGGCAGGGTGTATGGGAAACTTCCGTTCTCATCACTAATTACATGGCTCTGCCCAGTACGTGCTATGCCCAGTAGGAGTCTGTCAGGATACACAGCCAGCAATTACTAGTGGTCACCCCAGTGAGCTCTGATCACTTCAGAAACCTTTGTTAAGAGCATGTGTTACTTTTACAAAATTTTTAAAGCAATACAAACTACTCCCTGTGCACTAGGGCTTAGAAAATCATACTGGAAGTCACTAGAAAACTCTCCCTGCTGTTCTAAACATTCTAACTCTGCAGATGAGCTTCTGGAGTTGATGGCGGACAAGGCTAAGCCCATTCAGATAAGAAAGGTGGCCCGAATCAGTGGGGTTAGTTTGTTTCTTATTCGTTACTCTACTGTATACTACAGCTAACATGAATTTATACTTACGGGTTTACTCAGCCACAGTATGTAAAAACTGTTACATGTTAGAAAAAAAGTATAGACATGTTCTTGCTTAGCCACTAACTGGGCTCAAGGTAGGTGTTCTACTAAAGGGTTAAACAGAATGACCAAGTGTCCTTTATTCTACCCCAGTTCACTGCTAAGAGCTACAAGCCAGTATCTGCAAGCCAGGCAGTCATCCAGCACAGTTCAAATGAGCTTCCCAGCGCCTGCAGTCACTTGGCTCTGATTTTAAGAGGAAAAAAAAAAGGCTTCTTTTCAAACTCAGACCTTTTCAAGAATTTCTGTTGGACAGAAAGTTCTGGAGTGTTCTGAATGACTCCACTGACATCCAAGGACAGGGGAGGAGGTTTTGCACACAGCTTCACATCTCCGTAGATGATGTTTGTTCTCAGCTGGATGAGCTACAATTTTCTAACACTGGATGTTTAAGTGCTGCAAATGAACTCTACACGGTCCAAGTTAGAAATTCAGGGTAATTGCTCAATTGTACAGACTTTTACTTTGTTCTCTTTCTCTTCTTTGGGGGTAAAAGAAAGCAAAGCAACTTCCAGGAATTGTCTTCGGGCAGAATACATTTAACCCAAGCTCTTTCATCGTCTACATTTATATGATTCTAATCAAATATTAACTATCCTGCCCACAGCAGACAATTATCACCACTCTGATCTGTCTGGGGAAGAAACTTGGTCTTTTTTCCGCCCTTGTCTCAGGCTCCGCACACTTCTCAGGGAGGCAGTTCCTGTCCCCCACCGTTCTCTCCTCCGCGCCCACTTCCCAACAGGTGACCAGCTGCCCAACCGGTCAAGGTCTAGGGCCAAGGCTGGAGAGTGACCCGATAAAGAAGTTCCTGTTCTAGGACTTTCTCTGTGTTTACAGGTCGGACTCCAGACACTTTCATCTCCCATTCCCATGTGGTGAATGACGGTGGGGCCTACGTTCTCACTGTTCCCGCCGATTTTGCCCCCTAGTGTTAACAAACGGCACATTCATGTTTTCACTACATTTTTAAAAGTGTATTTCACAGTAACTCTTGGAGAAGGTGCCGGGTGAATGACAACTCCCCGTGCTCCTCCAGGACACCAAGGTGCTCTCCCCATCTCCTTCCACCTTCCCAAAGCCAGTGGTGGACCCTGAAAGAGTCATCTGACTGAGAGCCAGGCCCTGGCCCCACCTCCTTACAGGTAAGAGCCAACTCCCGCCATCGTGTGACCTGGCTCCCAAGGCCCTTCTCCAGGAGCCATGCCCTTGAGGGTCCCCAACTCTGCCCTCAGCACACATCGGACCCCGTTCTAGTTTCCAGGCTGGCCAATGAGCACTGTGTATCCATTGCCTCGAACCCCGTGTGAGCAATCGATTCAGCAATGCCCCCGCCCCCACCGCCCCATCCCTCATAGATACTTAGAAACACTTTCAAGCAAGGTGTGGCCCAGAAAGGCTTATAAGCAAACAGGAGACTTCACACAAGAACACCCCCTTCCCTGAGGACAGCAGGGGACACAAAATGAGCTTCGCTTATCTCAGACAAATCTGGCAGTGGGAGAGCTGAACTCCGACAGCCACCTGCCCTCCTGAGATGGTAGCCTTCAGTCAGAAACAAATCCACACTGATGACTTTGCCTGCGAAGAGCACTAAGATTCAGGGTGCACATACCCAGGCTTTGGAGACCCGGCGGCCTGGACTCAAACCCCAGCTACACCGCTTCCTACAAGGGCGGCCTCGGCTTCCTCGCTTGCAAAATGAGAATAATAATAAGAGTACTTGCCCCCTAAACTGCTTGGGAGATTAAAGAGTCATTCACGTAATATATTACTACTTTCCATCACAGCTGCCCTGGAAACATAAACCCATCAACTCTGGCTCTTCCCTCTCCTTCCAAGGCTCTGGGAGCCAACAGTGGAAACAACAATGACTGGGTAGCAGCAAACACCTATGAACCACCAAGTGCCAGGCCCCCACTAAATGCATTGAATATGTATCTCAACTCATCTAATCCTCACAGCAACCCAAGGAGGAGGGTACTAGTATTACTTCTGAAGGGACCTGCTACACAGATAGGTTAAGCGACTTGCCCAAGGTCACACAGCTAGTTAGTCGTAAGATCTCTCAATCGTTAAATCCTGGTGTCACAAAGGCTTTCCCAAACCATCTGAATCTGGGAGTTAAGAGATCATGGGCAGGCTGAGAGGCCTGGAGTGCAGCTAACAGGGGCCCTGCAGAATGGGCGTAAAACCAGGAAGGCGTTTGTTCCAACACAGAACGTTTGCTGCCAAGCACTACCTTGGCCGTACGGCGATTCCTGATAGGATACCTAGGCTATTAGGTCACCCGTTCAGGGAAAGCCACTCTACTTTAAAGTCGCGTCTGCGTTGATGGAAAGGAGACCCCCTCGACCGGCCCCCGGGCAGCACAGCGGAGTCACCTGAAGCAGGGCGGAGTGTTGTACAAGGAGTTGTTTGCGGCCTGCACTTTGTACTCCAGGACGGCGGGGCACTCCGTGAGGGCGAAGCCCAGCAGGTCATCGCGGATGATCACCACGGTGACCCCCGCCGAGCCGACGTTCTTCTGGGCACCAGCGAAGATCACCCCAAACTGAAAACAAGGAAAACATGCTACAGTAGGCATACTCGGTCATTTTTCTGCAGTGTACTTAAAGTTGCCACCCGCTTTCTAAAACACGATTTTTATGAGAAAGCGACTATTCTCTTCCTTAAAGGAATCGCCATCTGAGACACTCGTGCCTGCAGATTACTGTCCGCCTGGGCCTTCTCTCCAGTAAGGGGGGCTGGCCCAAGCCCGCCACTGTAAAGACCTCATACATATTCATATCCACTTTGCATACGTTCCATTGACACCCAAGCTAGTCTTTAAAATAGGGAGGCTGTAATGTCCTTGGTAACCAAAAAAGCCAGAAGTTCTCATCTATTTGCATTTGTATAAAGGGATAATCAGAAGAATGCTGATACATGAGATAAGATGCCTGAGAGAAAAGAAATTTTAGAAAACAGATCTTTTCTGAAAGAAAAGGTATTCAGGAAATTTTGTCATGTACCACACAGAATCCTCTCCCATGTCTCCCCAGGAAAACTTAAGGAAAACCAGCTGGTGTCCCAAGGAAATGGGGTACAGCTTGGCCCAGCAGGAGTATTTGACAGTTGACATTGTTTAGAATTCAAAGTAAAAGGTAACTAATGATACATACCAGGCCATTACTAAAATATATATCCAATGGAATATTATGCAGCCTTAAAAAGGAATAAAGTTCTGACACATTCTACCACATGGATGAACCTCAAGGACATTCTACTGAGTGAAATAAGCCAGACACAAAAGGACAAATACTGTACAACTCCATTATACGCGGTAACTACAGTGGCCATATTCATAGATACAAAAAGTACGAACAGTGGTGACTAGGGCTGAGGGAGGAAGGACGAGGGAATTAGTGTGTGATGGGTGCTGAGTTTCAGTTTGGGAAGATCAAAATTCTGGAGATGTATGGTGGTAAATGATTACCCAACAGTGTGAATGCATTTAAAATGCCACTGAACTGCACCTAAAAATGGTTGAAATGACAGATTTTATGTTAAGTATATTTTACCTCAATTTTTTTAAATAAAGCAGATTACAATTTAGTAATTTAAAAAAAATGCTTTACAGATGTTATATCCCCTTGCTACAGGCACCTGGGTACACTCCTCCCACTGCCCACCGTGGTGCGCCACTCAAAACCTATGTCCAAATGCTCTTGGACTTGAGGTGGATACAAGGCAAGGGGGGCTTCCTGTACCCTGAGCTTAGATAATCTGCATATTCCCTTCAAGACAGCAATCCACTCCCAATATATTGACTAAAAACTTTTCTAAGAGCCACTGTCAAAGGCAGATCAATTCCCAAGGACTCAAGTGTGACTCTGTGAGGCCATCACTGACACAGGGCTGAGAAGGTCGGGACTTACACATCTGATGGTCCTCAATAACTGACAACTAGTGACTGCTGGCCTGCTCACTGAGAGCTACCCTGGCCTCAGGGTCTCGGCTGGCCCACGGCTCCCCGACCGTTTTTTGTTCTAGAATACCCGTGTATTCAACTGCTCTCACAGAAACCAGGATGCTGGGGTCCCCTCTTTCACACTCTACCTTGGAAACGTCCACTGGCCTGGAGAGGAAGTTCGAGGACATGTCACAAACCAGCACTGCATCCTTGACGTCAGGGATGAAGTGAAACTCCACACCATGCACGGTCTCGTTAGCACAGTAATACACGTAGGAGGCCTCAGGGCTGAGGGTCCAGGTGCTCGGGTCTGGAATTTCTATCACAGAAGACAAGTTGAAGACACCGCGCTTTCACCCCTCTCCTCCTTCCTTATGTAGATGGAGTCAACCAGGAACAATGCCCCTCCCCTAGCAGTGAAAGACTGATTCCAAAGCATTCAGTAAAAGCATTTTCTCCATCTTGCATCTATAATCACTGCCCCCATCCTGAAAGGATGGTCAGTCTCACCCTGCTGACTGTTAAAACTTCAGAGACAGGAGGTGAGTGTTGGGGTCTCTTTCTTATTATCCAATGTCCCTTGATGGTCTTGGGGAAATATTTTCCTCTTGGGGATCCAACCTCCCTCATTCTCAGCCCATGTGGTTCCAATAGAATCAATTCCACCGGAAGTCCCAAAGGTACAATGTGACTCAGGTGCTATCACATGACCAATTTGGAAGGGGACACATGAGACATGAGACTGTTATGGGAATGCTTGAGCTCAGGCACTGAAAGTTGGGAGAATATAAAGTCAACAAGGGTTGCAACCATCTTCTAAAACTGAGAGGACAGCTTTCTTGACGGTGGAGCCACCACAGGAGACAGTAAGAGATACCAGGACTGGAAATAATGTTGAGGGCCTTGATCAAGCCATACCTAAAGCCAACACAGACCCTGGGCTTTTTAGCTAAGTAAGCTCAGGAATGCACTTTCTGCAGCAGCCACTTAGTAATGCTAACTAGTACAGCCATGCAATCGAAATGGTATCCAACTAACTACTGAGAAGGAGGAACAAAAAAATAAAAACCAGTACAGACTGTCCTGAGAGGAGTAACTGGGTATCTGAGGAGGGACCACATGCCAATGAACATTCCACTGTTTGCCTCCTTTCCCAGCACTTACTTGTGTAACTCCCAAGTTTAGGGTGGACGATATTCACAGTCCCAAACTTCTTAGCCTCTTCTGCAGCTTTCGCTGACCAAGCTCCTGTCACCACATAGTCGGCACACCTTCCAGCTTTCCGTCCAATCAGGTTTAAGGGAACAGCACTGAACTGGCCAGACCCACCTCCTTGCACAAAAATCACCTTGTAGTTGTCTGGAACAGCTCTGGGCACAAGCACAGGAGATAGAAACTATAGACTCACAGGGTCCAAGACGGAGAATGAGCGATTCCCTACCACCACTTGACCTTCTGGATGGACATACCACCAGAAATATGGGAAAGTCCCACTACCACTTTACCTTCCCAAATCTGGTCATTTATTCACTTCTTGGACAACTATTTACTGGCCCTGTGGTGGAAGCCTATGGTAACTATTTGGACAGAAGCTAGCAACCCACTACTGCTCCTTTAGGGTAGGATCCCACTGCCATTCTCAGTCTACATGGTTCAAGGGTGACCAGCCCCGGCTCTAGGGGATGAGCACGTGACCCAAGTTGGCCATTGGGGTTTGGTTCTGACTACTCTGATCAAACTTTTGGGAAAGAAGAGCTGTTTCTATTGAGGGAAACAATGACCTGGTAGGAACTAACCCTGCAACCAATGGTGGCCACCTGACGAAGCTACCACATGAAAAGGCAGGGCCAAAGAAGTTCCCATCAGACTGTCAGCTGATTTCTCAAAAGAGACCTTACAGGCAAGAAGGGGCTGGAAAGAAGTATTCCAAGTCATGAAATCCAAAGACCTACATCCAAGATTGATCTATCCAACAAAGCTTTCATTTAGAATGGAAGGGCAGATAAAGTGCTTCTCAGATAAGATCAAATTCAAGGAGTTCATCATCACCAAACCTTCATTATATGACATGTTAAAGGGACTTATCTAAGAAAAAGAAGATAAAAAATATGAACAGCGAAAGGACAGCAAACTCACAGTTATTAACAACCACACCTAAAACAAAAGCAAACTAAGAGGACAGCTAGATGAGAAGCAGAACCATAGAAATAGAGATCACATGGAGGGTTAGCAACAGGGAAGTGGGAGAAGGAGGAGGGGGGAGAAGGTACAGAAAATAAGTAGCACAGACGGTAGGTAAAAAATAGGGGGGAGGGTAAGAATAGTAGGGGAAATATAGAATCTAAAGAACTTGAGACATGTGGTCATAAACTAAAGGGGGGGAAGGATGGGGGAGGGGTGTGCAAGGTGGAGGGGAATGAAGGGGGAGAAATAGAACAACTGTAACGGCATAATCAATAAAATATATATTTTTTAAAAAAAAAGGCAGGGCCAGGAGATGAGAAAAAGACTTCCTGATATCATCTGAGCTCGGAAGTCATAGACTTTTCCATGGCTTCCAGGCATGGACTTAAGTCTGAACTTTTCCATCATGCAAGGTAATACATTCCTCTTTTTTTCCCAACTACAAGCAAAAGTTTATTTAGAAAGCCACAGAGGTAGAAAGAGTCAGTCAGGTGGGCTGCATGGGCTCAGGAGCCAAGTTACAGAGGCAAAGAAGGGTCTGTGGGGCTCACAGGGAAGAAAGCAAAGATCGCGCACCTGAGGCAAGGAGTGGAGGAAGAGCACGGGCGAGCAGGAGAGAAAGCCAATGCATTCTTTTCTGCAGTTAGGCCAGGAGTTGGGCTACCGTCTCCTGCAACCAAAAGTCCTAAAACAATGTATATGCTGGTCCATGCTATGAAGCAATGGAGAAGGATCTTTGCTTATACTTTCAGTCTAATCACATAATCAGGAACCCAATACACACCAAGTTTAAGAGTGACAGGGGGTGAGCTGGGATGGGGGTAAAGGGCAGAAAGCTATACTTGAACGACAATGAAATTTTTTTAAAAAGAGAATGAAATTTTTTGGCTCCAGCATGGAAAATAAAAATGATAGCTGGCTGACTACCAGCAGTAGGGTATGGCCAGCTCCAGAAGGACTAGGCAGTGGAACCTGGACCCAAGCCTTTGAGGGAGGTCAGAGCTTAGGAACAGGCAGACTGCAGGGGTCAGAGCCCAGCAGAGACACAAACACCAAAGGCCAGGGCAGTATGAGAGGGTCTAACAGGCAGTGTACACGTAACCTGGTTCTGAGCCACGCCTGCCTATCTCCGTGCTCAGCAGGACGGCAAAGCCTGCAGGCCGGCCTGCGGAGGCTCTGCCCGTGAGGTTTTCCGCAGCTGGAGGACTGGCAGCCCAAGGCAGGGTTCCAGGGCTGTTATTCAGATGCAGGGCGGTTAACAAGGCCAAGAACTGGAGGGAAGGACACTGGACAGGGGCCTAGGTACAGGGGTACAAGGCAGGAACCTGGCAGAAGATAAGGGGATAGGCCCATAAATTGAACTGTGAATCCAGCCTGAAGAAGCTTGCAGCCACGTGGGTCAAATGCCACATAGGGCCAAGGTCCCAAACACTCCCTCCATGGAGGACAGGCTCATTCGATGAACATGGCCTGCGACCCAGCCAGTAGAGCTGGCGTTTGAAGCCAAGCAGATGGTCACAGTTGTAAACACTCACCCTGCAATGGGTTCCTACTGCTCCTCACAAAAAACGGCACCAAGCCCCCCCACCCCCGCCAAGCATTTATCAAGGCAACTTGAAAAGAAAGTAATGATCCCAGTCAGGGCACATGCCTGGGTTGCAGGCCAGTACCCAGCGGAGGACACAGGTAAGGCAACCATACATTGACGTTCCTCTCCCTCTCTCCTTCCCTTCCCCCTCTAAAGATAAATAAACAAAATCTTTTTTAAAAAAAGAAAGTAATGAAACAGTGGGTACAATTCCAATTTTGTTAATGAAAGAACACAAGGATGAACCCTAAAATGTTAACAATGATTACCTCTGACAAGTGGGATGATAGGTAATTCCTGTTTAATTTGTGAGTCTGTTTTTTCTAAGCTTTCTATCTTGAAAGTGCAGTAGTTTTCTGAGCAGGAAAAAAGGTGTGTGTTTCCAAGATCACTATATTCATGTACGTGACTGTACTGATTATCATAAGGCCTCTCCTTTACAGAGCATTGTATGTACTAGGAAGGTTTCCGCTGGGTGAAAAAAGCAGCACAGACAACCCAGGAGAGCGTGTTGGAGCAGCAGTTCCTGGAGTTCCAAACTCCTAAAATAACCCAAAGAGCCTATTAATAGTGACAGCAGGCCTGGGCAGGGCTCAGCATTTGAATTTTTTAATACGTCCCCGCAACCAGGAGATTCTGACGGGTTGTGTGAGGTCCTATAACTTCCAGAACCAGCGAACTACACTGTGGTTAACAACGCCAACAAAGATGGCCATTCCTTGGTCATTTAAACCCCTTTTAGGACAGCTGAACTTCTAACCTGCTGGAAAATCTTCCCTAGATATAATGATTTCAAATCTCTGGACACACTACATAAAATAAAAACACACAAAGGCAGGATGGGTAACAAATAACAAGCATTATGTACTAACTTAGTGAATCTGAGAGAATCTTAAGACTATTTTTACTTCTGGAATATTCTAAACAGCAGAGTACAGAAAATAATGTAATAGACACCCAGGCATACATATTATCAAGCAAAAGAAACAGTTTGGTCTTTAAAATTTTAAACTTACAGCAGTTCCCGCACAAGATTCTCAGTGTTGTTAAGAATCTTAGCAAAATCTGATGACCTGTGGCTCATTTCTGTGGAAGGAAATATAACAAAGTAAGTACCAGTTCAAAGCCAAATGAACACAAGTAACTTCAGAAAGAACAACACAGTTTGCAAGTAAAGAATAAGTAGAAATGTCAGTTATATTGCACTCAAATTATGGGCCAAGGCTCACTTCATTTAGGGGAAAATCCAAACTGACTTTCAAATTGCAAGTATTACAGCTTTACGAGGGCTGTCCAGAAAAAGTCCACCCATTGTTAATTTAACGAGAATGGTTTGTGCAGCACTGATATAACCTGGCAGCCAAAGAGAGTGGACTGGAATGTGCATGCGTGAACAATGATGACTTCACTGTGCTAGTCAGTGGGGTGGGGGTAGACGTCATTGAGTGAGCATGTACACTGTGTGGCTGTCGCATTCAAAATGACTGAGCAAGTAGAGCAACGAATCTATATCAAATTTTGTGTTAACCTTTGAACTTTCCTCTACGAAAACTATTCAGATAATTCAGAAGTTTTCAGGGACGATGCAAAGTGCAGCACAAATAAGTGTGGCACAAGTGTTTTGAAGATGGTGAAGAATCTGTTGAAAGTGATCCACATTCTGGAAGGCCTGCAACAAGCAGAACACCTGAGAATGTTGAAAGTGTACAGGCTGCAATCAACAAAGATCGGTGACTTGCAGCGTGAAAACTAGAAACTGATAGGAAGATTCCAAAAACTGTGTCCAAGATTTTGATGCAGGATCTCGGCATAAAATGTATCGTGGCAAAATTCGTTCCATGGCTTCAGCTACCAGAGCAGCAGGAAGACCATGCTGCAGTTGCTGATGACTTGTTTCAAACCACTACCACAAACCAGACTTTTTCAAGGTCATAACTGGAGATGAATTGTGGGTCTATGGGTAGGATCCGGAAACAAAGCTGTCCCAACAGAAGTTGCCTGGTTCTCCATGCCTGAAGAAGACACAGCAAGGTCGCAGCAAGATCGAGACCATGTTAACTGTATTTTTGATTAGGAAGGTGTTCTCCATCACAAGTACGCCCCTCCAGGCCAAACAATAAGTACTACCTCAATGTTCTTCATCAGCTGAGATGCAATACAACTAAAACTGCAGCTACAGGCAACTGGTGCTTGGCAGCTTCATCACAACAATGCGCCCACTCACGCATCACATCTTGTGCAGTTTTTTGGAGAAACATCAAATCACCCAGGAGACTCACCCCTCTACAGCCCAGATTTGGCACTCTGCAACTTCTGGCTTTTCCCAAAACTAAAATCACTTCTGAAAGGGAAGTAATTTTGGACCGTCCATAAGATTCAGGAAAATATGATGGGGCAGCTGATGGCAATTACAACAAAGGATTCTGCAGTGTTTTGCACTGCAGAGATGGTAGAGATGCTGGAAAAGCATCTATGTGAGGTCTCGAGGTGCCTACTTTGAAAGTGATTGAGGAGTCACTGTACGATGTTTCTTGTATCTTGTACCTTCTTCAATAAATGTCCCTATTTAAACAGTACGTGGGTGGATCCTTTCTGAACAGACCTCACAGCAGAATGACTGTTTGAGTGGCAGTTTCAACCTCTGTTCTCACAAACATGGACATACGTGCAATGTTTGCCCTTCGGAACAAGAAGACGAAAGTCTACACTATGCTCTCACCTCACAGACATCTAAGTGCATGTCCCAAACCCACAGGAACAATATTTAATAGCAATGAGCATGCAGTTAACCCTACAGTCTCTTAATACTATACAGTCTTTGGAACTACAAAACAAAAAAAGAGAGAAAATTTCAATAAAAGAAAGTAAGTTTTAGAACTCAAAGGTCTTCTTCCCCAGTCATATAAAGGAGAGGATCTTAATGAAATTATTAATTGGCAAGATCTACATAAACAGCTCATATATTTATAAACCTTTAATCAGTGCATTTATAAGTATAATAAAAACTAAATGAACATGAGGCAATATTATAAATGTTTGGAAACTAAGTTAAGCAGAGTTGTACACCAAGTGTCCTATAAGTGTTTGGGACGCTGATACACAATGTACAGTAAGAACTTTTTTAAAATTTTCACTTGAGGATATGTTTATTGATTTGGGGGGAAAAAGGAAAGGAGAAAGGGAGATGGGGAAAGAGACAGAGAGAGAGACACTGATGTGAGAGAGAATCAATCAGTTCCTGCTTGTATGCACCAGGACCAGAGGTCAAACCCACAATGTAGGTATGTGCCCTGACCGGGGAATTGAACTTGCAAACATTTTGATATACTGGCCAGCACTCCAATCAGCTAGGTCACCTGGCCAGGGCTACAATAAGAATTTTCTGATCTCAGCTCCTACAAATAGCAAAACCAATTAGGAAATGCTGAGATGTATTAAATTTTACTAGTATTTATGTTTATGTTGATTGCAAAATCAATTCCATCACACATGCAGCCAAAATTATTAAATTTAAAAAATATATCAACAAGAGCCTATAGAGAGACACTATAGAAATTATGGGTTTGATGCATTTAAATTAGTTCTCTTTGAAACCTGGATATTCACAGAATCCAAAAATAAATCTTACCAAGAACACTAATCCCAATGCCTTTGTGGTCTAATAATTCTTTTTGTATCTCTAACAATACCTAGAAAAAAATAAAAGAAAATAGGTGATTTGAACATTCTGTGCACAGCTCTCCTTCTGGACAAACAAACCTGAGGGTGGGGGAAAGGGGGGGGTCTACCCACAGAACCTGTGAGATCAGGAAGTTTCTGTCCCCACCCACAACCAATCCCCTTCCTCCCACAGAGCCCAGAAGATTAACTTTTCACAAAAGTCGGGTGTGAAATTACCATACGTGATTGATGCTAGGATACAGTTTTTCCAAAGGCATGAATTAGCTTGGATATTTTTAATAGCTTGGATTTAAAAGAAAATAAGCAAGTATAAAATTTTTCTGATGGCAATTCTTTAAATGTCAAGATAAAACCACTGGGAAAAACTACAATCTGTCCCCTCCACAATCTCATTTGCCACTGTCTTAAAGTTAAAAGCACAAAATGCATCAAGCTCTGGGTTCAGGGGACAACAACAAAAAAGTCAGCTAGGCCCCAAATTAAACAGGTAACTGGATCATCCATACGTTTGGTGCAGGTGCTTGAGTGGGATGAGTGGGGTGGACATGAATCAGGAAGCACCTGCTGTGAATGAGGACTCCTCCAAGAGTGACTGATGTATTCATCTTTGGTCCCAGCAACTGAGCGATGAGGGTGGTATTCTTGTGTCTAATTTGCCCATGAGAAACCTCAGCTGAGGCCCCAGAGGGGGACTTAGCCATGTTCACTGGCCAGCCCCTTCATCCCTGCAGGATCACTGCAGTCCCATAACCACATTCTACCTCACAGGGGCAACAGAGAAAGCAGGACCCAGTTTAGGGCCAATCCCAGCACCAGGAAAGGGAGAGGGCAGGGGTATGAGGGCCACAGCGGAATCTCTCCCCACTAGGGAGGAGACTCATTGGTTTTGTTTCCAAAGGCAAGTAAAATGCAAGTAACTACAAACTGAGAAGGAAAATACCTATTTTTTTAGGGATCACAAGCCCTCATCAGCGATGGGTGTTGATGTGTTTATGAGTGAAATGACTGATATCTGCATTGGTTTGGACATAATCCTGAGGAAGGAAAGGAGAAAGATGGTGTGTGTGTGTGTGTGTGTGTGTGTGTGTGTGCACGCGTGTGTGTGTGGTGGTGAGAGGGGAGGTGTTGAAACACAGTGGAAAAATGTCCATAACTGTTAAATCTCAGAAACGGGTCAATGGATGGCCTCATATTATTTCCTTTCTACTTCTGTGTATGTGAGAACTGCCACAAAGTAAAAAGAGAGAAAGAAAAGCTCAAAAAATACGTACAGCCATGGCTGGTGTAGCTCAGTGGATTGAGCACAGGCCTGCAAACCAGAGGATCGCAGTTCTCGGTTCGATTCCCAGTCAGGGCACACGCCTGGGTTGCAGGCCAGTTCCCAGCAGGGGGACCACAACAGGCAACCATACATTGATAATGTCTCCCTCTCTCCTTCCCTTCCCCTCTAAAAATAAATAAATAAAGTCTTTTCTTAATTTAAAAAAAATGTACAAAATAGGGTAAGGTAAGACTTCTGTAGAAGCACCCAACCATCACAGATGGTTTCTTTAAAAGATACAGGCTAAGAAGGACATCACAAAACCATCTAAACTGGACTGTGACTTACCTGAAAAAAACAATACTGAACAATAAAGAATTAGACAAAAAGATTCCACTGAAAAGGGAGTTCAAGAATTTGTCACTGTTTTGCAAACTGCTGGATGCTTATTAGCACTGGCTGATCAAATAAACCTGAGTGAATCCTGCCCTTCAGTAAACAGAAACACCCATCTGTAATGGAATCATCTTTGAACTTCTAAGACTGTATTTCTCTTACAGATAGTATTCTTTGAAGATATTTATAAGTTTATGTCCAAAACTATTACAAAGAGTTTTAAGATTTCCACCCATAAAGCACCATCCTCTTAATCCAATGGAGGTTCTTTTTTCAAACTGCTGAATGCTTTTGTGGGTCACAAAGAATTTTTTAAATGAAACTGAACAGACTAGCACGGAATAGAATACAAATTGTGTATGTTCTAGTTAATTAGGCTATTTCTTAAGGCTCTTGTTTTAGTTATAATCACATGTATGTACTTGGTCATTTTGTAAAATATACATATTTTCCACTGGGATTAAATCAAAGTTTGAAAAGTTTCTCTAATCCTTTTAACTCAATTACATTGAATTACATACAAAGCAACATCTGCTCCCCGGGTTACAGGACACATCAGAAAGTAAAAATCCTTCCGAGAAAATAAATACTTAACAAATAATAGCATTACTGATGACAGCTGTCATTATAATAAATGCATAACAAATTGCACAGGGGACAATATTCTGAACCCAAAAGAAGAGAAGAAAAGGGTGAGGAAACATTTCCACAGCTCTAGCAGAGAGTCTCGCCTAAAACGGACCACAATGGCAGAGAGAAAAATATGCGTTTTTCTCTCAGCTACTGTGAGCACGGTCCTAGAAAAGTAAAATGTCCTTTTCCCCTTTAAAACGGTAAGATTCTGTTTTTATGATACAGAAGAGGCTCTGTCCCAGGGAGACTTCTACCCGGTTCAACAAAAGATAATTGTGAAGTACTTGGCCTCCTATTGCTACAACATATTACCAGAATCATCTTGGTTAGAAAAATAAAAATCCAACAAAAGCAGCGTTGGCAGCTTGTCAACGGATTCAAGGCACATCAGAGACTTCGCTTTCTTCACAGCTGCCACGGGTTGGGACTGGGGGAGCCAAGGACCTGGACCCTGGCTGGGGGTTGAGAAGGCAGGGAGAGAGTGCCGCTTGCACTAGAAAGGCCTGATGAGGGGCGGCCGGCGGACGGCCGGGGAGTATTTCAATTTTCAAACATTCTCTGGCTACAGAACAAAGTAAAGCAAACTAGGCTAGCAATCTAAAGACTACCAGACTACAAACACTCTAATGACTTTTGGGGACAAGCCGGTTAAAAAAAAAAAAAAACACACGACGCGCAAAACAGCTGTGAAAAAGGGTTTGGGGAAGGGTAGGTTCTGGGGGTGGAAAAGGAGGGACTGGAAGGCTTTCAAATTTAGTGTACGTTTTTGAAAAGCAATGTTCTCAAAGTGCCAGCTAACCCAAAGGCTGTTTACAGGGCAGGGGGTGGGGGAAGGAGGCGATGGGGCATGCGTGGCCCTCCAGTTTGCAATCCCTTCCAGTTAATGCGATCCCCATTCGCCATTCATTCACACAGCGTCCATTCATGCACCCACTCAATACTGCCTGGCTTGCAGCACTGCCCGAGAGGTGAACACAGAATGTGGGGCTTTCTCTTTTCCGACGAGCCCACGCGAGGGCCTGAGAAAGTAGTCTGCAGGAGTCTCCAGCTGTGCTACAGCGACACGCCAGCTACGCGCCCCAGCGGGCCGAGTCGTGCTCACCTCAGAGCAACTGCACAGGCATTTTCCCGAAGCTTCCTCCCTCAACTGCCTGTCTCCAGAAGCACCCCTGCGAGAGATCCTGAACTGGGTACACTCTGGTGCAGAGCGTACGGAGAACTAGGGGCAGGGATGGGGATTTAAGCGCCCAGCATAGTGATGCACAGCCACCCGAGCAGGATGTTCAGCTACCTGAGCACGCGTGCGTGCTCACGCTCGGACTGCACTTTCCACGCGCAGTCGCTGGGACTTACCGAACGTGGCAGCTTGGCCGGCCCGGGCCCGAAATTGACAACCTGCTTCGGAGCGTCCATGCTGCTGCGGCTTAGGCGGCTAGTCGGTTGGAGAGAATTGTACGCGTGGGCTGCGCGAGTGTGTCACTGGTGCCAACCCTCTGCCTTCTTCCAATGCCCGTCTGGCGCCCCAGATTGGCCCGCACCGCAAGCAGGCACTGCTCTGATTGGCCCCCTCCATAGGGCTCGCATCCCCATTGGTCTCGCTCACTAGCCGGGGCCGGAAGCCATTGCTCCCGCTCGGGTTTACTGTTTCAACCCTTTCGGATCGATGCAAGGCGTGCGGAGATTGCACCAGCTCCTAGGCTCAGCTGCACCCCAGCCCAAAATTCGTAGGCGGAGGGAAAAGGTTGTGTTCTTCCGCCTATGCTCAAGACCAGGCCGGTTTCAGTCCTCCAACTCTAACTTCAGAGTTCTCTTGGCCGCAGGAGCAGATGGGAGTAAATCCCACCCCCTTTCCCCCATTCAACCCTGCAAGTTTCGTCCACCAGCCCCCGGGTGCTGATGCGTTTGTTTCAGAAGCAGTAGTCATTAATTCTCCAGACTTTTCTAAGCACCCCACGGCGCCAGATACCCCAGTGGAAAGGCGCAGGACTCCCAAGGATGGTACTACAGTGTGAAGAATGGACCCTGGGTGGGTTGTGTAGGTGATGAGGTTCTTTGCACGTGCAATGGACCCCAGAGTTCCTGCAGGATTAAAAAATGGAAGCAGCTAAGGGTTCTGGGAAACCTGGGTGCCCCCAGGCAAGTCCTTTGAAGTTGCTGATTCTTCATTTTCTCTGGTGAAACCAGCGAGCTGGAACCCAGCAAAAGCTCTCAGGTTCGCCAGCGCCAACAAGCTGTGAGTTTAGAAACGTGAGGAGATATTAACAGGAACGCGATACCCCTGGGGAGCTGCAGTCCAAGCCAGGGGAAGGCCCAGAGCCAGGCCAGGCACAGGGCCAGCACTGCTCAAATGTTTCTACAATAGTATCTTTCTCGAACTCCATTGGAGACCCACGTGGGGTTCTGAAATAGGGAGGCCCCCTTTCCTGCAAGAAAGAAGTTTCTCAGAAGTCTGGAATTTATCATTTTTTAAAAATGTGAACTTGACGTTCTACTCCACAGTTTAACCTAGTTTCTTTTAATATAAAAATATTTTCCTAAATCTTTAAGCAAAGTTGATGTCCCAGGAGTACAGTGCCTATTCTGGGGCTTTCTGAAACACTACCTACAGTGTCAACTATCCCTTTTAAAGGCTTGTAAGTTAACGGGGTTTTGGCCTTTGTTTGTTTTCCTGGTATGTGGGCGGGATGGGGCCCCGGAACAGAGGTACTGCTTCTGCTTCGGGTTTGGGAGTTGGAGGGCAAAGTTTCTTAAAAGCTGAAATGAACAAGGGCACTGCCTTCCTCAGCACCTTCATTTTGCAAATTGCAAAATTTAATGGAGGGTATTAAACAAAATTGAACTGAGTAAATCTGAAGATCTAACTGACTTTGTTAAGCAATTCGTGAATTTGGGCAGCATCCCATCTAGCAACTAGAAGGGCACTGGAAGGTGTTGTACAAAATGGAAGGTTTTAATAGGAAGATGAATGAGGGAAACGAACTATTAACAAAAGAAAAAGAAGAATTTTTAGACCCAGTGTGTTCTGTTGTGGGAAAGGGAATAGCAAGTGTTTTTGTCCTACCTGTTGCCCCTTCTTTCTCTGGGGGATGGAGAGGGCCTATGTGACAGATTACTGGTGCTTGACCAGAAAAACCAGACTGATTGATTAAGATTACATTTTGGAGAGGTTGAAATTGCAGTTAGATCAGGTATTAAAGCTAGGTTTGTTATTATGGACCTTTAGCACAAGTGACACCATTTTGGACCTGTGGTTCTCACTTTAACAAGGGTATGAACTTCATTCCATAAACTCACAGGCAAGAATTGTCCCGGTGGGCAATTTTACATAATGACTTGGCTGTAGACTGATATGGGAAACTTTGAAAAACCTCTGTTTAACCTTTATTTGCCCAGGCCCCAGGCGCCCTAGAGAGAATGATGGGGCTGTCTGGGAGGGCGGGTGGCCGGATAGTGAGGACTGGAAATGAAGGGAGAGGTCCCAGGAGACTTTGACTCACCTAGCACCCCTGCTGGAAATGCTGATAGCCAGATAGTCAGTAGGTCTGGGACTAGCACCCCTGCTGATAGAACAATTGTCACATTCTGCTTCTGTATCCCGCTTTTGTCACGTGGACAGGAAGACCCCGTAGACTATATAAACCCCAAGAATCCTTTGTTCGGGGCTCAGAATTTGGAAATGACTCCTCTGGGCCCGTGCACGTTAAAACCTCGTACTCCAGAATCCCTCGGTGTCTGGTTGCTTCATTTTCCTATAACAGACCACTAGCCTCTAATCTACTGTGGGATTGAGGAGTTAGCCTCCCTCCTTCCTGGAGTTCCTAACCCCAGGGCACACAGTACCACCATGTGGGGGGAGAGGGAATCACACAGTCATTTGGTCGTCTGTCCCCAGAAAATTTGGCTGAGTTGTTTCTGCTGTCCAGGTTTATATGACTACTTCAGTTGAGCAGCTCTTTACTATTTCTGTGTTCTACAAGGGACACAGGATATTTGGGTGGAGTGGGGGTGGCTATCGTCCTATCTGCCAAAACATGCCATGCAATCATTCCTCCCGTGGTATCTCAGTTTCCTAGATGATATTACAAGGAAATAAAGCACACAGACCTCCTTCCTAGGGCCTCCCTGACCTGTCTCTCTCTCTTCCTCCCAGCCCAAGGAAATATCTTTTTCATCCTAGGAAAAATTCATCACTTTCTATGTTTCTTCCTCACACTCTGTCCTTAAGCCAGGACCACAGACCTCAAAGCTCTGGGGACCACTCGGGTAAAAAGATGGTGCTGAGACTGACGAATTGGAATGTGCATGCCCACATGCTGGTGCTTCCTCACCCAATGGAACAGAGTCACCAGAGAGTGACTGTCAGCCAGACTTTCCATTTCCTAGCTCCCCTTGCATTTAGGTGGGTCACGTGACTGGTTTCCACCAATGGAATGAAGCAGAGAATGTCACTTCAGACCAAAGAAGTCAAGCAACCATGTGTTTCTGCTCATGCTTTTTCCCATTCCACAGGCTGAAATCCAAGTCCCAAAGCCCCCCAGGGCATAGTGTGGTCACGGGGAGAAGGAGCCCTGGTCTGTGAATCACCTGCTCTGGACTTGTTATTCATGACAGAGAAATCAACTTCCTTTGTGTTATGCCACTGAAATCTGAGGAGCTGTTTGTTCCAGTGGCTCATGTTATCCCAATTAATATGCCATTCTAAATGCAGCAGCGGTAGCTCAGATCCAGCTGGTGTAGCCATGTGGGCAAACAAGGTTGCTTGAGTCATCTTAAGTTTTTGGTTTTGTTTTTTAAAGAAAAAACCAGGAACCTGGATTTTTGTGCAAAGCGTCCCAATTTTTTGAAGTCTACAAATTAAAATTTCAGAAGGCACTGTACAGATGAACATCGTGAGCGACCACACCTAGCTTTTCTGCCTTCCTGACTCAGCACATGGGCCACCAGCTCTCCAAGGACTGTTTTATAGCATCCTGCTCTTCATTCAACAAGGAGGACTCAGCTACCTGCTTGAGTAAGGAAACAGGAAAAAGGGGAAACACTGAGGGAAATGTAATTTAATCTCAGAATGTTCCGGCACCCTTGTTTATTTTGCAGTGCAGATGTATAAAGACAGCCCTGGGAACCCCTGCATTTCAGAAGGGCCTTCCCTTTTTAGTAAATCCTCATTTAGCAGTTGAAAGAAAAGCTTCTTTATGAAATATATATTTTGTCAATTTTCACAAGTGCCTCTTATCAAGGCCTTACCAGGTAGGAAAGTACAGGGCTCTGCCGCCATTTCCAGTCCGATGGTCTGTGCTGTGAGGGAGTGAGAAGAGAGGGCAGCTCTGAGCAGGGAAGAATTCGGTTTTGAATGAGGGGTGATCATTTCTGCTGCCCTTTTTGTAGCTAAAGGTCCTTTCTCCTTACTGTTCATTATTCCCAGAGAAAATGAGGAATGGGGCAAGGAAGTCATCAGAGTTTATGCAGCCAACACGAGCCCAAATCCTGTTGCATTCTTCATACTGACCCCAACAGACAGCAAAGCGATTTGTCCTTCTCACTTACTACTTTACAGCAGTTTTTTTTTTCAGCACCCTACCTTACTTTATTTTTTAAATTGTGGTAACCTATACAAAACACAAAATTTATCATTTGAGCCATTTCAAATGTATTGTTCAGTGAGAGAGCATTCACACTGTTGTGGGACCATCGCCACCATTCATCCCCAGAAACCACTCATCTTCCCAGGCTGGAACTCTGCGCCCATTAAACGCCCCTATCGCTCCCTCCCCCAGCCCCTGGCAACCACAGTCCTACCTTCTGCCTCTGGAACTGACCACTCTTAGTACCTTCTGTAAGTGGAGTCACAGAGTATTTGTCTTTTGTGACTGGCTTACATCACTTAGCACAGTGTCTTCAAAGTTCATCCATTTTACTTTAGTTTTTTTAACTTTCTTTTAAATAGACTTTATTTTTAGAGCAGTTTTAGGTTCACAGCAAAATTTTGAGGAAGTTACAGGGATTTTCCTCGATTATCAATATTCCTTCCCCACCCCCCTGAGCAGTGCATTTGTTATAATCGGTGACCCGACACTGACTGACGACACGTCATCACCCAAAGTCCACAGCTGATATTAGAGTCTCCTTGGTGTTGTGTCTTCCGTAGGTTTGGACACATGTAGCAATGACATGTGTACGCCGTTATGGTATTGTGCAGAATAGCCTACTCCCCTAAAATTCTTGTGTGGTCTGCCTATTCATCCCTACCTACCCTCTCTTGCTTCATCTTTAAATGCTCAGTATAAAGAACATTCCAAGTAAAGTCTCTAAAGGAGTCGTTTTAAGAGACGTGCTCTCTGTGGACCAGTGGGCAGAGTCGCCTGGGGGACTGCACACGGCTATTATCTCTTAAGATCCTAAAAAGATTCCGATATGGAAAGAGTATCAGCATATTTTAAACCGGAAAACGTACTTATTTTACTGCTCTTTTTTGTAAGGAGGGAACAAAACTCCTGGCACCGTTTCTTCAAGA